CTTGTTTTAGTGCCTTTCCACCATACCCTTTTGGTAATTAGCTCTCTAATCCTCATGTTTTGATAGAAAGACTGAGACTTTGGTAATTCGTGCTTTGTTTTTGCTTGAAGGGATGATCAAAGTTTGATCCTTTTTGTTTTCTTCAACTTCAGAAGCTGCCAGAGAGAAGCTGAGGTAATGGTGATGAAGGAGAGAGATGAGGAGCTCGCTCTGTTCCTTGAGATGAGGAGAAGGGAGAAAGAGAATGAGAAAAACAACCTTCTCCTTCTTCAAAACTCAGAGGAACTTGATTTGTCCAAGTTGGGTATGTTTCTTTTTTTCTTCTTCTCATGTTTTGTGTGGCTCTTGTTATGTTCTAATAAATGATGCCTTATTATGTTATGTTATCTTACTACAGAATCCAATCGTGGGAGCTCTACGATTTCCAAGATCATATCTGTAGTGCCACCAAGGAAGACCGGTGTTGAAGAGTTCTTGAATTCAGAGAATGACAAGTCTGATTATGAATGGTAATTTCGGACTGTAACTTTTGATTGCTGATGAGGGTGTGTGATTATTCTCTGTGACTGTGAGTATATAGATCTTGTAAATTAATTGGATTCAGAAGAGAATTCTAGTTAAATTTAAGTTTTGTTGAGTCTTCGTTTTTTTATATAATCTGGTGTGGGAGAAATTCTTCTAGTCTAGTTGAAAGCTTTCACAAAAATGAAGTGAAATGTCATTTAAGTTGCAAATTTTAGAATGATTGAAGTGTATGATTGTTGTTTTTGAGCAGTCCCCACATGCGATACTCCTTAGGCAGAGAAGTTTTTGCAATTTTGTCAATGACAATTTCAGGCCGCACATCTAGTTCCAACTTCCAACTTGGTGATTTCCTGATACACCTCTTAGGAAGAGAATGTTCCTGATACTCCTTAGGAAGAGAATGTTCTTGTTCTTATCGTTATTCATGATATATGGTTGATAATTAATTCGTTTTCAAATATTTTATTTGTCTTAATCAAACTCTCCTTGCAATCAATGGAGTTTGGTGATTTCCTATTTTAATGTAGAAGTTGATTATGTTGCTTACTGCTGAGTATTTTCTCCAAAGGAAGTAAGTTAACATCAAGCTTTACTTTTCATGTCTCCTCTTCTGAAATTGATATCATATTCCTGGAAAAGAAAATCAATGAACTCCTTAATATAAATCTATGCTGATTTCAAATGCAAACCTTCAGTGGAGGAATCAGAAATGAATTGAATTTTATTTGCACATTATAATAATGGTCGTTTAGTTAATTTGGACTTCTCTGCTATGATATTCTATAGCAGTTGAAAACCCTTCATACTGAAAATAACCAAATTGCATAATACACACATGTGCAATGGAGTCATACCGTATGTATTTTAGCTCATTCCTTGTTTCTGCTTCTATAGTGCATTATGATTTTTATCCATCAGAATTACATCCTTCGTACTGACAAGAAGTTTTCTTTGTCAGGCTTCTTACGCCACCCGATACACCTCTTTTTCCTACTTTAGAGAAGGAGTCACAGATACCAGTAAAAGGTGAAATGGAGATTCGTAATGCTCGTCCAACAGCTTTAAAACCTAGAGTAAGAACCATTTGATATGATTTTTGGATGCTGTTGAACCATATCAATTAGTTTGATGTACATAGTATATGCAGCATAACACTTTGGCTTTATAATTCCTCTACCAGTATCCAAACCTTGGATTCAATTAACAAGGGTTTTCTCCTGTCTGTTTTTTTTTGAATTCCAACTAGTAGTAATGGATTCTATTTTTCTAGTTGATTTAATTAATACAACACTTGCAACTTTCTTGTGATGGTGTATCATGTGTTGCAGGTATCTAATATCCAAGCAGAACCTGCTTCAAGAAGCAATGTAGTTTCTAAGCATCATGTAACAATGCCAGGACTCGGTTCTTCCACCATTGGTAGTAGGAGACAATCATCTGGGGGTCCAACCTCAGCCACCTCAAGATCTTCAACCCCATCTGGAAGGCCAACATTACCTTCAACAACCAAATGTTCTAGGACCTCTACACCTACATCCCGGGCCACCTTAACATCTGCAAAGCCAACAGCTCCATCAATGAGATCATCCACTCCTACAAGATCCACTGCCAGGGCCTCAACACCTACTTCAAGGCCTTCTTTGGCTGCTTCCAAGACATCTCAAAGATCAGCAACTCCTACCCTTAGATCATCAACCCCATCAAGGGCATTTGGAGTATCTGCTCCTCCTACTCGGCCTTCATCAGCATCAAAAGCACGCCCGGTAGTTGCGAAGAATCCAGTGCAGTCACGTGGAAGCTCTCCATCAGTAAAATCTAGACCTTGGGAACCCTCACAGATGCCTGGTTTTTCTCTTGATGCTCCTCCAAATTTGAAGACATCATTGCCAGATAGACCAGCTTCAAACACTAGGAGTAGGCCTGGAGCACCAAGTTCTAGATCATCTTCTGTCGATGCCAGTGGCAATGGAAAATCTAGAAGGCAGTCAAGCACACCTTCAAAAGGAAGGGCTTCAACTGGGTTTTCCCACAGTAATCAGTTCTCCATGCATGCTTTGAGTAGAGCTCGTTTCACTGATGGTGATGACGAAAGCCCAGTTGTAATTGGGACAAAAATGGTTGAAAGAGTAGTAAACATGAGAAAACTGGCACCACCAAAACATGAAGACCATCATTCTGCACAAAACAATTCTTATGGAAAATCTTCATCGTCTGGTAGTTCTGGATTTGGAAGTACACTTTCGAAGAAGTCTTTAGATATGGCAATGAGGCATATGGTATGTTCATTTATTCCATTACTCATATGTTGTTATCTAAAATACAATAATGATAATTTAGGCCTTAATTGATGAGTATAATATAGCGAGAAACATATTAATGCTTACATATGCTTAACCTTGGTATCCTGCCATGAAGTAAACGATAGTAACTTCCAAGAGTTATTTCTGTTCTCTATATGGCAATAACATATGGGATGTGTATATTCCTATGCGCGTGTTCTAAAAAATTCTACAATGATCTGGAATATTCATATAGTTAATGAACATAATCAATAAATACATGACGGCTGAAAGTTTGGATAGTTTAAGGAAAAATGTTTATTCCTGCACTGCATTGAGTAACAGAAGGAATAGAAAGGTTTATATTTCATTGATTCAGTAGATAGACATAAATATATAATACATTTGAGGTATATTGGAAAGGCGTTACCATTTACAGCAGAATGTTGACAAAGACAAAGATTGCTGAGTATGTGAACTATATTTCAGTTTTAAACTAAAGTAGAGAGTATATTTGAATTCAAATGTGTAATATACATTATGCTACAATAATTGATGTATACACTGCTTTGAAGTAAACATCAACTAATGTATTTCGGTTTCATATTAGGCAAGTTACAAGTTGTCTTTGGTTTCTCTTCCACAGGACATAAGGCGAAGCATGCAGGGTAATCTGCGCCCAATTGTGACAAGCATTCCAGCTTCTTCAATGTGCAGTTTGAGATCAGGTAGTTCATCAAAGAGCAGGACTCTCAGTGTTTCTGATTCACCACTTGCAACAAGCAGCACTGCTAGCTCTGAACCAAGTGTAAATAATAATAGCTCCATATCTTATGATGGAAGTGAGATTGAAGAAAATGATTTTGGAATTGAGAGGTAAACTCTTCCCCTATCATTCATCAAATATAGTATGTGACTAATGGGAATCAGAATCATCAAGCCAGATATGATGGTCTAATCACGATTCATCACTACTCTTGCCACTTTATTTGTATGTGGTAGAACAAATAGCACAAATATTTATAGAATAGGAGTAGATTGTCTTTGTTCTACGAGTGTTCTGAGACATTTGGAGGCTGCCTTAAGACATTTTATGAGCTTTATTGTAGGAAAGCATATAAGCATGTTTGTGGCAGGAGGGTTGTTTGTACTGAACATTGAACAACCAATTGATGAGCTCGTTCAATTGTTACACACTAAATCTGTTTGAAAGGTTCATAATTAACTCGGGAATTTGCATCTAAAACTTTGTAGTTTATCTTGCAAAAAATCTTAGGATTTTAAACACATTCAATCTATAAAGCATACAATCTCTTGAACATAATCATAGAGCATGAACAATATGAAAAAGAATAATGTTTACAAACCTCAATTTGAGATGAAAAATGATAATGAACGTATTGAAAGAGCTTTTTAATAGCTAACTATTCTCTTCCCCAAGAAACACAAATATTTTTGGTGGAAAGATTAGAGAGAACGTAGCTGCATGGACCCTTCCTAAGTGTATTTAGGGCATGTTTGGATGTTTTTTTTTTTTCAGAAAAAAAAATACCTTTACTTTAAAATCCATTTGATATATGTTTTAAAAAAAAAAAACAGAAGTCACAAAAAAAGTCAAAAACATACTTTTTTTGGAAGCTAAAATTTTTGAGCTTATAAAAAAAACAGAAGTCAAAAAAATCAAATATGTTTTTCAAAATCCAAATATTTTTTTCAAAAATCTAAATAGTTTTAGCTTTTATAAAAAATATTTCTAAAATAAACAAAGAATAAAAAACATTTTTTCATAAGCTCATCCAAACGGACCATAATATCAAGGCAAACCCATTCCAAGTTGATATCAAGACCGAGATAAATTATATTAAATTAGTCCGTATATTTGAATCACCATATCAAAACTGGGCTTAGTAATTCATCTACACGAGCAAGTTTTCTTGAATTTCAATTTCAGCTTATTATGGGGCTTAAAAACTGAAAGGCATTGCTTTTGTTGTTTCATGCATTTCTTTAACTGACCTATAATTTTTCTTTATACCTCATAAAATAGACTACAACTAGTTTCATCATCTACCAAGTGACGTTTTGGTTTGTTGGATTTGGAAAATTGACAAGAAATTACTTAAAAGTTAAAAGTCATAATAGATAATGATTTTCCATTCCATACAAACGAAGGATAGAAAATATAAAGACGAAATTGATGGACAAGAATTATTTGTGAATCTAATAGGGGATGATTGTATAAACAGTTTGGAGGATAGTAACAGCAGGAACCACTATAGCAACAAAGTTGTAGCCTCGCTCGCTTCAAAATTTGGTAAGCCGTTCTAGTTGACATATGAAATTATGCTACAGAATTATGTAGATTCGTTTGAGACAATTTGCTGCAGAATAATTGTTCAATTTATCAAACATTTGAACTGTTAGAATTCTAAGAAGAAAATGTTTCATTGAATCAAATTGTAAAAGAAAGGGTACTGTATAAATACACATTGTGTGATTGAAAAAGGAAAATAATCAATCCCAAATAAAATGGAAATAAAAAACTGATCCTAATTGATTAAATCCCATCAATTAGGGATTTGACAATATCTCTTAATTAATGGAAACAATTTTTAGATTTTCTACACTCCCTCTAAAGTTGGGAGGTATATGTTGATAATTTCCAACTTACCAATCAGATCTTCAAATGCTGGTTTATATAGGCCTTTAGTAAGGATGTTTGGTGTTTGCTCTTTGGTAGGAATGTACGTCATACACATTTCCACCATCTAGCTTTTCTTTAATGAAATGGCGGTCAACTTCTACATGTTTTGTCCTATCACTATAGACAGGATTTTGAGCGATGCTAACAGCAGTTTTGTTGTAACAATATAAGAGATCTTTAATTTCTCAACAAGTCTTCTCAACCAGACTCCCTAACAAACTCCTTGAGTTAGAGCTCGAAATTTTGCCTCAGCAGTGCTTCTTGCAACTTCAGTCTATTTTTTACTCCTCTAACTTACAAGGTTGCCCCATACATAGGTGCAATAGCTTGAAGTAGATCTTCGGACGGATGAACATGCTCAATCTACATCGGTGTAGATTTCAATCATCCTCTAAAACCCCTTTCTAAAGAATAGTCCTTTGCTAGGATATTTTTAAGGTACTTAAGGATCCTATGGTCAACACTCAAGTGTTTCTTCCTAGGTGAGTGCATGAATTGGCTAACCATGCTTATTGCGAAGGCAATGTCAGGTCAAGTGTAGGATACGTAAATCAATTTTCCAACCAATTTCGGATATTATTCCCTGTCTACCTCTTTTTCATCTTCAATGCCCAACTTAGTGTTAGGTTCCATAGGTAAGGATGACAAAAATGAGCCAACCCGACGGATTGGACCCTAACCCACAAAAAAATAAGTTGGGTTAAGTTGACAAAAATGAGCTGACAACCCGAGACAGCTCGACCCGAGCCAACCCACGGATTAAACGGGTCAGCTTGCGGGTTATTCACTTTCACTTTCCAATTCTGCCTCTGAGTGTCGCGACCCTTTCACCCATTTTGTCTCTTCTTAGACTCTACCACATTTTTCCTTTTAACTCTATTAGCGCGAAACTTTTGGGACATGGATTAGTGTATGGTTAGAGTGATGATTAGCGCAAAGCTGTGGTGGTCATACATTTCACAACCTTTGCCGTCAATGGCAACGACGATGGTGATTGTTCCTTAAGCTTTTAGCTTCCCAAAGTTTACACTTTTACTCTTTTCATATCTAATTAGCTTATGCCCACTATGAACAAATCTTTGGTGCTACTGTAGCACCAAAGATTCAGTACATCTCACCAATAAAAGTATTACATGTCAGCTAAAGTTTTATTTTCTCTGACAAATTTTCTCTCTCTCCTATGATGTGTAATACTCTCATTGGTGAGATGCACTGAATTTTGATGTAACAGTAGCATCAAAGATTTATTCGCCCACTATCTCTTTTTTGAGTTTTACTTTTTACATAAATATTTTTACTTCTTTGTTGATCTATTTATTTTTTTGGTTTGGCTTTCTCTTTATCTACACCCATTACTATTAGCAGGTAAAACAGATCTATGCCTTTTTTTTTTTGGAGGAACGTTCTTTATTGGTAAAAGCTGAAAGATATGTGGAAGTGAGAATGAGCGATGAAAACTGAATCATAATAGATTGAGAAGATAGGGAAATAGAAGGGAAGTGAGAATGAGCAATGAGAACTAGTTTCGAAGAAAACCAATGATCGATTTTCGATTTTGCTATTGGGACAATGGGCACAGCTGAAGAAACTCGACGTAGGGAGATAAAACTGAAAAGCATATAAAGCCAATGAAAAAAAAATCATAAAAATAACTAATTCCATTTTTTCGAGTCAACCCGTGAGCCACTCCTCGCTAGCTATTTTTTTGAGCCAACCCTAACCCGTCTCGGGTTGAGTTTTCTGGCTCAGTTTTTTTCAAGCCAATCCTAACCCGACTCATTTTTTTTCTGGGTTGCAAACGGGTTAGGGCGGGTCTAGCCGAGTTGGCCTGTTTTGCCAACCCTATCCACAGGGGTCTCCTACAAAAGGTCAAGGATATATTTCTTTTGAGTAATAGTGATTCTTGACTTACTCCGAACCACCTCTATTCCAAGAAAATACTTAAGGTTTCTAAGATCCTTTGACTCACACTGGTATGCTAGATACTTCTTCAAGGAATCCAATTCCTCACGATCATCACATGTAATAATTAAGTCATCCACATAAATAATAAGTATAGCAATTTTACTATTCGTGGAGTGCTTGCGGAAGAGTGTATGATAGGCCTGTGCTTGGAGCAAGCCTTTCCTTTTGATTGCTTGAGTAAATTTTTCGAACCATTCTCTCGGGAATTGCTTAAGACCATAAAGAGATTCTTCAACTTGCACACCAACCAATTTTGCTTTTCAAAACCACAGGGAGGATCCACGTAGACTTCCTAACGTAGGTCACCTTTTAAGAATGCATTATTCAAATCTAGTTATTGTAGGGCCAACACAGGTTAGTGGCCAGAGATAAGATGACTCAAATTGTGTTGACCTTGGCAACTAAAACAAAAGTCAATGAGTAAACAATATGATCTATATCAAGCGGAACGTGGCAGCATATAAAATAATATTTAATTCAATAAATATGAGAAATCCTCAATTGCCAAATTAATTTATAAAAATAACACAAAATAATATCTTATCACAATAATATACGAATGAAACCGAACTGCAAGGTTGAAAAGTAAACTTTCAATCCAAATTAAATATTTTCAAAACTAGCACTTTATCAAAAAGTATGCTAATAAAATCAAATGACAAGACTTAAAAACAAACTGTCAAATCCAAATTACTTATATGTATATAAATTGGAAATGAAGACTTTACCAAAATAATATACATATTTAAGTTCGGGTATACTCAGACAGAACTACAACATAACATTCATGGGCTCCTCGCCTGATTAGGCTGCCCACCTATAATATGATCACAATACAAGGCTCATTACCTGAAAATATAATCACAACGATGCTAGGCTCCCCGCCTGTAATAAATTATAGTTCACCAAGGCTAACATCTATATATGACTGTTAGTATACAATGTTCTAATTAAGTCTTACCCCAAAATGAATTTCAAAATCATAGAACATAATGTAAATATATTTCTCAAAATCAATCATAAGCAAATCACAGTTTTATAAATAACTTCACAAATGTTGGAATACTTTTCAAATATTCAACCACGAAATTTATAACTTCCATAATATTTCTCAATTCCATCACGAAGTAAAACATTATAATATAAGCAATATAGTGGTAATATAAATAATTTCAAAATTCAATATTTTTCTAAATCATTAAAATAATAATATAATGCCTTTAAATTACTCAACTTTAAAATCTAAGTGTATCACAAATTTCATAATATCATTCCAATCCAGTATCAAATATCGGCAAATAAATAATAAAACAAATCAAACCGCCTAGCTTCATTTTATGCCACATCACTTCCTTAAAAACGCTGAAGTATCAGACACTCCATATATTCATTCAAGTCATAATAAAATAAAATAAAATAATTTAAAGATAACAACTATGAACAGCGCACTTGTTCTTGCAAGTAACATCAATGACCTCATATCATTACCTACATTAAGTTTTGGACCTGTATACTTTGAACAGCGTTTATTCCAGTATGAGGTGCGACACAATCACCTATACCCCATTGCCACCGCTACTGTATTTCTTTCGCTTCTCATTCCAATATCATGGAACCAAGTCATAAGACCCATGAAAATGTCAAAAAATTGAAATTGAACCAAATCTCGTGACAACATTGTGGTAGTAACTTCGATCACCTTTTTTTTTAGTACAAACTTGGATCACCTTTTAGGGTCCTTTCCAAAACACCAAAAAATGGCTGAATCTGATGTTTGTATCTCTAAATATGATCGAAACTCCAAGGCTGGTTTAGACTCCGTGACAGTACCGCTATAGTACTTTATGTTGAGATATATAGTCCCAGATTAGTTGTATGTGCAACTAATGTGGAGTTTATAAGGTATTGGGCACTCCCACCCTTTGAGCTAGCTTTTGAGGTGATGTATCCTAAGGTTCTTGAGCTAGCCTGGTGATTGCCTAGGAGGCGGGTCGAGTACTTTGCGCTGCGGGTACTCGGTCGAGTACTTTCCCCCGCCACGGGCTTTGATACCATGTAAAGAACCTTGGGATACACCACCCCAAAAGCTAGCTCAAAGAGTGGGAGTGCCCAAAGCCTTATAAACTCTACATTAGTTGCACATACAACCAATGTGGACTATATATCTCAACACTTTAACGCTCAATTTACGGTCCAAGACTATATATGCTGATTCCCACAACGCATAACCACTGCGGAATGTTTGAGGTCAGTTTTCGGTCTTTTAACTGTAGAATCATGAGTCGACTTCTTCATCAAAGTTGTAGGTCTGCTTCTAAGCTTTTCAAAACACCAAAGAATGCTTAAATCCATGGTGTATAGCTCGAGATATGGGTAAAAATGTAAACCATGTCCTATAGAACTTGATGAACTCAAAGATTGATGCCTATTAATTGATCGTGTTGTTGTCCGTAAATCATTCCATCTCCATATATGATATAATTTCTTGTAAAGTGATGGGGCCAATGTTGGAAAACAGAACAATTGGAATGGGACCATGGAAATCTGACAGGATAATTGTTGAATTTAATCATTTTCCTTCTTTTGATATCTAAAGATAAAACCTTATCATTACATCTGTTTTTTTATTCAAACCAAAAGCAAATGGACCGTGCATGATATATTGAGGTTTGATGTTTTGCAATAATTCCTTCTCATTGTCTAGCCAATTTGCTAGAAAAAAAAAAAAAAAAATTTAAGTGGAGCAAGCTTTACATTTGATGATTGAAAATGGACGATCTCCCATTGCTTCAAAATTCTTGGGTCTTCACCTATTAATTTCTTTTCTTGTCAATTATTTATGCAAGTGTCATAATTATCATTCAAAGTCAAGTCAATTTAAAAAAAATAAAAAAAAAGGTTTAAGCATGGGATTCCACCGTTCTTGAATACATCATCCCTTAGTTGTACAACCTGTTGGAGTCTGTTGCATTTACCCTAATTTAATATGCATATGCATTGGATTACACAATTCTTGAAGACATCATCTCGTAGTTGTAAACTGTAATCTAGTGGGTAGGTTGCATTTACCATGATGTGATAGATCTATGCATTAGATATATCATCCTTAGTTGTAACCTGTCTGGAAATTGGAAAGCATTGAATAGTCTACGACGTACCTGTCATCTAGTGATAAAAATTAATGTAAATACATTGGGTCCATCATGGATAGACTTTTTTTACTAGAAAAATGAAAGGTCATCATGGATAGACTCTTGTTAGTATGTTCATATATTCCATTACTAATATGTTGTTAACTGAAATACATGAACGATTATGTGATACCATGTTCCATGTGGAAGGTGTGTCGCATAGCAGTAGATTGTCTTTATTCTGATACACTGGAAGGCTGTCTCGAGACATTTTATGAGCTTTTTTTTAGGAAACCATATAAATGTGTTTGTAAATCGAGGATTGTCTTTGTTCTACACTAAATATGCTTCAAAGGTTCATACTTTACATAGGAATTGACATCTAAAACAAATAGTTTAGACTTATGCTTCCGCGCGTGTACAAGAGCAAGTTTTATTGAATTTCAGTTTAATATATGGGGATTACAAAATAGTATTCTCTACCTATGAAAGGTAACTCCCTCGTATTTTATTATTAATAATAATAATTTAATTATAAATTATTGCAAAATAATACTTTAAAAATTATAATTCAACCATAAATAATATTCGAAAAAGTACAATTCAATCACAAATTATTAGTAAACAAAGTTTCAAAACATTCTACTTGAAAATGTTATCTTTAATGATTATTCAATTAATAATATTTGGAAAAAGTGTTTCTTATACCACAAGAGATAAATTTATCTCCAACTATTCCAAAACTATATCGTTTTGGGGATTGAAATAACTAATGAATGATATCTTATAAATTTTGTTTTTTTCTTTGTTATATCAATTTACCAATACATCATTTATTAATTCTCCCAACTCTCAAAATGACGTAATTTTGGAATTGTTGAGATAACTTTATCATTTGTGACACGAGAAACGACAAACCCATAATATTGTACTTTTACAATATTAAATTGGGGAGAGTTATATTTACAAATTTTTTGTTTACAAACTATATTTTGTATTCTCGGAAGTACACTAGGTTACACTATGTACTTCCGGGAGTACACAGTGTAATTTGCAAAATTTTAAAAAAAAATTGTAAACATATCTTTCCGTTATTAAATTACTTGGCATAGTTACATTTTTCTATAAATAAATACTAAAATGAGCCATTAGCCATTGCTTAAAAAACTGAGTGAAAATTAAAAAGTAAAGGAGAGAGAATTTTGGAAAAAATGCTACCTCATGGGAGGGAAAACAGATTCTTGACGAAAAAAAATGAGAATAAGGAATTTTTACACTAGCAAAGTTGTAGCCGTGCTTCATAACGAAACAAGAAATTAATTAAAGGTCCTAATAGATAATGGTTTCCCTATAGTAGACAAAAGGATTGAAAACACAAAGACTTGATATATCAATGAGCATGACTGGGACGATAATAGGGGAGGATTGCATAAATAGTCTGCGGAATAGCGAGAAGAGATAACAATATAGCTGCAAAGTTATAGCCACTCCCCATAAATTCGACGAACTGTTCTGCTCGGAATCTGAAATCATGCCACCATATTTTGCAGATTCTTATGAAAAAATTTGCTCTGGAGTAATTGTTCAAATCATTAAATATTTTAATATAACTGGAATCAACTATTTCATGGTCAACACCCCTTGATATTGTACCAAAATAGTTATCCAATTTTTTATTGCTCATCTTCAAATGATCCACAATAATATTCTTATCCTTAAGAAGTTGAACATCAGCCCCACAACATATCAATCCATCAAAAAACAATGCAGACCAAGTGCACTTGCCGCTGTAATCATAAGCAGCTGTGCTCTTCCATTTCTTTTTGTGATGCTCCAAAGCAATGAAATTGCGCCACTTGGCTTGTGTTGTTCCTGTGATATGCAGCTGAGGAATCTCTAGTTTTCCATTGTTGAATTTTATGTCAAAGTCGAACTTTGTCATTTCCACAGTTTCAAGCATATTCGCTTCCCTATTCACAAGCATATTCCCAAGCCTTATCAGCATACGACCAAAACAGTTCCCTTGCAAATTGACAAGCCTTCTATCCCTATCTGGGAGTGTGATAGTAACCCCAGCAGCTTTGAGCCTTGTTGCACAACACTTCAGTTTCACCTCCACATGACTCTTGACAACATGGGACAGATATTGCTGAGTTTCCTCAATTTTCACAACTTCTTGACCATCCTCTATTTTGATAGCTTCCTTGTTAATGGAAGAGTGGACAAGTTCAATAAAGTGAGGGGCACCTGGGTTCCCAAAGTGAGTGTAGCCAAAGAGAGACAAGGCAAGATCATTAATTCTTGTCACCCTCTGGACATGATCCTTTGTGAACTCATTGGGGAAAAGTATTTGAGTCAACTTGTGGAGAATGCGAAGCGGTATCTGGTTCTCTAACAATAGCAGATCAGACAAAACCTCTTCATCTTTTACCACTTCAGGTCCGGGACTAGGATACTTGGAGCTGCTTTTTAGTTCATGATTCAATTTCAAATCGTTGGATATGAGAAGCTCTAGTAGAAAACACCCATCCACCAACATAATGTTGGCAAGTTCGTACCTGTTATTGATAAAAAAATCACTTCCGGTTAAATCCAGACTAGTTATAAGATAATTTTTTTTATTTTTTATTTTTGTATTTTCCCTATTGTTGATGATATCGAATCAGAGTTTCCGGTGCATTATTCACTCTTTTAATGAAGCACAAATCTTTAACCAACGCTATTACACGAGGGTGTGTATTAGAAATATAATATAAAGTTAATTCATGAGTATTTTGTCAGGCGAGCAAGGCACAATGCATGCTAGAAGAGCACCACCAATAAGTTAAACTATACCAACAGTAAAAAGTGTGTCTCACGTCATGTCTCTCAATCCAAAATCTTAAAGAATTGGGTTCGTTAGTCTTATCACTATATAAACTTCGTTTAGCCCATTATCAATCAAATTAAGATTTCACACCCAACTAGTTCGAGTTCAACCGGAGCTTATGGTATGGACCAGTACTACTAATAGGCTAAGTTATACTAACGGTAACAAGTGGATTTTACACCAATATAAAACTCTATCAATCACACTTGAATATTAACATATTTCATCTAAGAACTTAAGTTTGGGGACTTACTTGGTGAGTTTAATGACATTGACGTAGCATGCCCGAACCTTTTCATCTAATTCCAAAATGACATCGCTGCATTTTTCGAAGTAATCTTGCGCCTGCATGTCATTACTTCGATGAAGGAGAGAAGACATGCATTGTAATTTGATCTTTTCCATGAGCAGCAGGTCTTCTCGTGTTCCCCTGAATCGAGGACCGATGGAGACAACCTTTGGCATGTAAGCATCCTCGTTACATTCTTTAAGTCTTTCAGGAACGATGGAAATGCTACATGTTTTAAGATAATATGGACTGTCCACAGATATTATTGACTCATACACAGAATGATTCCACCTTTTAACATCTTGGTTTGGTTCACTGGCCGTGTCTTTGTTTGGTTCAGTGGCCATGTCTTTGTCTGGTTCATTGGCCATGTCTTTGTCTGGTTCATTGGCCATGTCCGGCTATTAGGACTTGAAAGAGTGACTAGGTAGGATAAATGCGTAATAATTGAAATAAGGTATAAACGGAGAGAGCTAATTGAAAAGGAAAGACGAAGAAAAGAGAAAAGAGAAACAAACAAACAAAGAGAGATGAAGCAATGAGTTTAGCACTGTGAGTTATGTGCCTGACCAGTTAAGAAACCCCTATATATATATATATATATATATAGGAGTAAACATCTCTACGGCAACAATTTTAGATAAGTTTATCTACAGCTGTCATTTTTAACTATATTCTCTCGGAAAAATATAGTTATAACGTTAAAGTTACTCTTTTCTCTCTCTCCACGTCAGTAAAAAAGTTCTGAAAAATAAATGAGGAGAGAGAAAAAAGAGCAACTTTAACGTTATAACTATATTCTCCCGGGAGAATATAGTTAAAAATAGCAGCTGTAGATAAGCTTATCTAAAGTTGCTGTAGAAATACTTTTGTCATATATATATATATAGTAAATATCATTTTTGGTCCTTATCAAATTTCACGATGTCGGCTTTAGTCCCTAACAAATAAAAAGGCTCATCGTGGTCCCTAAAAAATTTAAAATGAACCCATTTTAGTCCTTTTAGGGACTAATATGGATCTTTTTTGAATTTATGAGGGACCACAATTCCAACTAAATATGTCCATTTTAAATTTTGTAGGGACCACGATGAACCTTTTTATTTGCTAGGGACTAAAACGGGTATCGTAAAATTTGTTAAGGACAAAAAGGTATTTACTCATATATATATATATATATATATATATATATATATATATATATATATATATATAGATGACACGACCTGAGTTTCTGAAAGATGTGTCACGGGTTTATCGAGCTTTATTTTGGTGGATCTGGTACATACGAAACATTCTAAGGGGGCGTTTGGTATGCGAGATTCTTTAAGAATCCTGGAAAATTGAATTTTTTTAAATTTTATATTTACGGATATTATCATAAACTGAATGTAAAAATCATATTTTTAAAAATTGAGATTCTCGGTTAAATTTTTTTTTTCCTGTACCAAACGCTCCCTAAAAGTAGAAAAGAACAGGGGACTTAGAGGAAATTTCAAAAAAGTGAGGGGCAAAAAGAGAAGCTCATTTTTTTAAAAATAGGAAAAAGATCACTCTAAAAAAATAGGCCGGGATCACTTTAAAACTCTTCTTCTCTGGGAGGGTCCTTCTCCTCACCATCCTGGAGGGAGCCGTCCATTTAGATTTCTGGCAGCCTGGCTCACTCATGAGGATTTCCCTGGCCTAGTGCAGGAGTGTTGGAATGGGAGTACAGGTTGGGGCACAGCTAGTGAAACTTTTCGATCGAATGCTTCTCACTGGCATAGGGAGTGCTTTAGGGAAGATGCCAAGCTTAAGAATAATCTTCAGGCGAGACTAAGGGGTATTGACCGTAGTCTTAGTCACCATCCTTGCATGCTCTAGAAATTCTGCAGAAAGATCTTTGGCGTCAGTTGAATCTCATTTATATTCGGGAGGATCTTACTTGGTTTCAACGGTCTAGGGCTAGCTGGTTGAAATATGGTGACCGGAATACGAAATTCTTCCATTCTACTACAGCTGCTAGGAGGAGGAGAAATCGTATTGATGCTCTGAAAAATGATGCGGGTGATTGGATTGGTGATCCCTCTATTCTGATGAATATGGCGGTGGAGTATTATCATAATTTGTTTAAAGAGGATAATACTGCTAGACCTGGGCTTCCAATTAGAGGCTATTTTCCTCACCTTGTGCAAGAGAACAACATTCATATTGGTAGCATTCCTTCGAATGAGGAGATTAGGAGTACAGTTTTTTCCATGGGACCTCACAAAGCTCCAGGGGTGGACGATCTTCATAGTCTATTTTTCCAATCTCAATGGGATACTGTAGGAAGCTCTGTTTGTGATCTGGTGAAAGATGTGTTTAATAATCCCCAAAAAGTTCGGGATATTAATCAAACTCTTATTTGCCTGATCCCGAAGATAACTTCACCTCAATCCCTTAAAGATTTCCGGCCTATTAGCCTTTGTAATGTTATTTATAAGACTATTACTAAGCTTATTGCTAACCGTTTGAAATTGCAGATGGATAAAATTGTTATGCCTAACCAGTGTAGTTTCATCAAAGGAAGGCAAGGGACAGATAATGTAATTATTGCTCAGGAAATTATTCACTCTATGAGGTCAAAGAAAGGCGCCAAAGGTTGGATGATGATTAAGGTGGATCTGGAGAAAGCTTATGACAGAATTAGCTGGGACTTTCTCCAAGATACTCTTCAGGATGTGGGACTCCCCCCAAATCTCATTAATCTTGTTATGTGGTGTGTTTCTTCTTGTTCGATGAATGTTCTTTGAAATGGTTCTACAACTCAGGAGTTTTTCCCATCCAGGGGGCTTAGACAGGGTGACCCTTTGTCCCCATATTTATTTATTCTTTGTATGGAGTGACTTGGTCATCTCATTTCCCATGCAGTTAGGCAAAAGTGCTGGAAGCCGATCATGTTGAGGAGAAATGCTCCTCCCATTTCTCACCTCTTTTTTGCGGATGATCTTATTCTTTGTGCGGATGCATCCTTTGATCAGGCCCAAACCATTTCCAAGGTGCTAGATGATTTTTGTCTTTCTTCTGGGCAAAAGGTTAACCATGAAAAAACAAAAATTCTCTTCTCCCACAATGTGAATCATATTTTGGCAGAGGAACTTAGTGGTGAGTTGGGCTTCTCAAGGACGGTGGATCTTGGAAAGTATTTGGGTATTCCTCTTCATCATCGCAGAGTTGGGAGGGCGGCTTTCAGTCATATCCTCGATCGAGTTCAATCTAGGATTAATGCCTGGAACCACACCAGTCTTTCTCTAGCAGGAAGAATTACACTTTCGAAAGTTGTTCTCTCAGCTATTCCAGCCTACACAATGCAAGTTTCTGTTGTTCCTCTCGGAATCTGCAATGATATTGAGAAACATATTAGGAGGTTTTTGTGGGGTTCTAATAGAGCATCTACTCGTCCTCATCTGGTTGCGTGGGATCAGTTGTGCATGGATAAAGATCATGGAGGGCTGGGTCTGAGGAAAATGAAGGAAGTTAACAGGGCTTTTATTATGAAAATTGGTTATGGGATCCTTTCTAATCCAGATGCGCTTTGGGCTAGAGTTTTAAAGAGCAAGTATAAAGTTCAGTCTGATTTGGTTCCTAATATTTCTGCTACTCGGAATAGCTCCTCTCTTTGGAAAGCAATTGTTTCGTCTTGGCCTGTGATATTACAGCATTCCAGAATTTTGCTAGGTAATGGAAATTCTACTCATTTTTGGGATGACCCGTGGGTTCCGGGTTGTGGTGCACTCTCATCCTATGCTGCTATTTCTGATCCCTCTCAGATAAATCATCAGCTAATGGTCTCTGATCTTGTCTCATCCTCCGGAAGTTGGATGTGGGGGGCTTTCCAGCATAGTCTTCCCGATCACGTCAATGCTCGTATTAATAACATCCTTCCTCCTTCGGATGTTAATGGTCATGACCGAATTTTGTGGACAAGGACATCTGATGGGAGTTTTTCGCTGAAGTCCGCTTATATGGCCATATCCAGGGGTAATGAGGAATCTACCAATTTACCTTGGAATCGCGTTTGGCAGTGGCATGGACCTGAACGGATTCGTACGTTCCTTTGGCTGTTGTTAGGAGATAAAATTTTGACAAATGAAAGGCGTTGCAGACGGCACATGGCGGGTTCAGATATATGTCATCTGTGCAATTGTTTTACGGAAACTTCCTTACATGCGGTTAGAGATTGTATTGCAGCAAAAAAAGTGTGGGAGATTGCAGTTAAGCGAGAGGCTTGGGAGGATTTTTTCTCTCTTAATCTTCAGCAATGGGTGTTGTCCAATATCTCTGAGGATCGTAATTGGTCCAATTTGCCATCATGGCCTCTTTTGTTTGGTATCATTTCCTGTTTCATTTGGCAAGCTAGGAATAAGAAAATTTTTCAGGGATCTTCTGTTCCTGCTTATGGCACTTTTAGAGCTGCTATGGTCTATGGTGAAGATTTTTCTTGGTCAGAAAACACGCTTCGGGTTGCTGGTCTTGAGACTAACTCGAATAAAGAGAAATTAGTTTCTTGGGTTTTTCCTTCGGACCCTTGGGTTAAGCTCAATGTGGATGGGTCAAGTATGAATAATGGAGAAGCTTCTGCTTGTGGGGGTGTATTTAGGAATGCTAGTGGAAGGTGGCTTGTTGGCTTTTGTAAAAATCTTGGCTGTGGTAATGTTTTGTTAGCAGAACTTTGGGGTTGTCTCCTTGGGCTTGAGATTGCATGGAGGAAAGGTTTCCGTTTTGTCTGGCTTGAAGGTGATTCCTTAGTAGCCCAGTTTTTCATAAGAGAAGGGTGCAGCTCTCATCATCCAGCCTCTAACTTGGTCTTGCGCATAAGGAATATGCTGGATTGGAATTGGAGGGTTAGAATTTCCCATATTCATAGGGAAGGGAATGGGGTTGCCGATTGGATGGCCTCTTTTGCCTACTCCTTTGATTGGTCTTTACAAGAGTTTGACTCGCCTCCTTCTGGTTGTCGTGACAAACTTGAAAGGGACTATGTAGGAGTAGTTTGGTCTAGGAGGTGTTCCTAGTTTCTTTTTTTGTTTTTATGTTTCCTGTTTGCTTTTCAAAAAAAAAAAAATTCACGGGTTTATCATGCATGGGTATGTAAGCACAATTTTTTTTTTTTATATTATTCATTTATTAATTAAGCTGGAACAATTTTGTACTAGTCATCTACCCACGTGATTGATGGTAGATAGAGATAATCTTATGTCTCCTCGTACGAGTATGAAATAATTTCTACACTATCAAAGTATCAATCCCTCTTGAAAAAAGCATCTCTCACGTGTTTAACAACTTTTTTTTTTAATAAATTATATAAATTTTTAACGATGCATCGTTATATATAATAAATATACATTTTAAACGACTTTTATAAGTGATGGTT